ACAGTCATAAGTGGGAGGAGGTGAAAGAAAGATGGTGTCAGGCTGAGCTCCATTCAAAATCCAAGAAAGAAATACTTAGACTCTTTTAGTTAGAGCAAAGATATCTTTTACTGGAAATGAAGTGGTAGCTACAATAGAATTCTGAATCTGAGAAATTAGGCGCGTAAATCGCATATACAAAGTGATGGAAATGATCCCACCCCCAATAGTTCAAATGATTCTTCCAATTAAAAGTTGTGAATATGATCATGTGGACATCTTCAGGTGGTGATGAGGCCTCTGTCCGTTGACCTTGGCATACTTTGATAAAAGTTTGCAGCTGCACAGAGAAAAAAAAGCTAAGCAAGAAATAGAAACCTAAGCAAGAATGCGCTCTCCCCCCCTCAGTTTATACAATGCCAGTTTGTACCACCTCCAGCTCGCTTCCCATACTTAATCCCCCCTCCTCCCCCCGTTACTTATGGCAGCTGAAAGATGCGAAGCAAAGGTAGATCTTGAAGGCTGACAGATGGGAGGATTAATAGTAATAGTAATGCAGACTTAGTAAATAGTTTGACAATGTTGAGGGAATTATATATACAATATGCAATAATCTAGTAAGGCCCACACCTGGAATCCTGCATCCAGTTTGGGTCAGCCGGTTACAACAAAAATGTGGAGACTTTGGAAAAAGTGCAAAGAAGAGCAACTAAGATGGTTAAAAGCCTGGAGACTAAAACATACGAAGAACAGTTGCAGGAATTGGGTTTGGGCAGTTGTGGAGAAAAGAAGGACCAAGGGTGACAAGATAGCAGTATTCCAGTATTGGAGGGGCTGCCCCAAAAGAAGGGGTTTCTTTCTCCCCTTCTCAACTTCCTTATGTTCATGGTTGTTCTGGGATAAAAATGTTGGCTGAAACTTATGGAGAGGAACAGTTTCTTCAACCCTGGACCTCGTGTTCTTCCTCCACCTCCTCTTCCTCCCACTCTGCAAACCCCATTTCCTTCTAGCAGGGATGATGTTAC